AACGAGGTGTTCCGTGTATCAGGATCAATGGTTTTGCTAATAATAATAATAATAATAATAATAATAATAATAATAATTATGATGATGATGATAATCACAATTAATTAAATCTATTGCTTTCTTCATAAAAGGAACAAATTGAATGTCAAACAAGCGATTGATTATATTGGGCAAGCTTGGGATGATGTAACGGAAATTACAATTTATAACTGCTGGTAAAAGTTAGAATTCTCCCTGGAATGCAACCGTGATGTTGTCGAAGCAGAAGCAGCAAGAATAAATGAAGAGAGAGAACAGACAGAAAGTGAGGACCTTAATGCACTGTTAGGAAATGCTGGTTAATGAAATAGATAGTATTTACGTGAAATCAACGAACCAATCCCGACTGAAAGCAGATGAACAAATTGTATCCTTTGTTACATCAGAAGCAATTGAGTCAGTTGACAGTCAAAATGATAGTAAAGAGTCTCCGGTGATTTCATTAAAAGAGGCTTTAAAGGGTCTCGAGGTGTTTATTATTTTCTATGAGCAAAAAGATAATGGAGACTTCGATGTTGGGGATTTAAGAACGTTTCGAAAACACAAAAGTAAGTTGCAAATCAAACAGTTTGCATTAATGAACAAAAAATGGCTGGATAGCTATTTTCTGCTCACATAGAGAATATTTGAATACTAATAATATTATAAAATTGTAGGTCACTGAGTCCGTTGGTGAAGAGCGCTTGAGTACAGATTGTTGATATTTATATACAGTCGTTCCCCCATATAGTCACCGCGTTGGGGCAGGCCATTCAAGGTGGTGACTATAAATTTTGACTATGATAGTGACTATAAATTTTTTAGTCACAATATAGATAAATAAAGCTGCCAAGTGATTACACCTTATCATCAGAAATATTAAGAACGAAAAGCTACTGCAAGAAAACATATTTATTAAAGCAACTTTATTATTCCTTTATCAACTAATTTATTGGAAAAGATCAATTGATGCAGGATTTGATATTTTATAAAGCCAAAGATGTAACCCGCTTTCTCTGCCAACATTCTATGAAACTTTTCATAACTTTGATAGAAGACAAAGTTAATAGATCAAGCAAATTTTGTATTTTGTTACTCTGTAGCCAACTCTCTTAGCTAGTCACTTTAAAAACTTCATATTCTTGGATAGAGAAATTCCTAGGTATCCCTATATTGGGATAATAACCAGAGCTTGATGACCAATTAGTACCGTTTGCAGATAAGTCTGATGTTCCGCCAAAACATGGACCATATGAAGTATGATAATACACGGCGTATGCGCTGTTTATGACACGAGCAATCTGTACGGAATCGAGGTCATCAATATCTTTGATATAAAACAAAAAACTTTTGTCGGTGTTTCCGTATGTCCCGTTGTCAGAGAACCAATTCAAAGGATTGTAACCTCCGATGATTGCGGTGTTTCCGTATGTTCCTTTGTTGGATATCCAATTCAAAGGATTGTAACCTCCGATGATTGCGTTACCCGAGCTAGGCTTACAGACAATCAGCGTTGGCCCCTTATAGTCACAGAGATTATGGAATGTGGCATTATCGAAGCCATCCCTTGTACCTCGAAGCAATAATTCGTATCGAAATCTCTTATGCGCCAAATATTTACTTGCGTTGATCCACAAGGAAATTAGGTCAAGCATTGTTCTTTCTATGATAACAGAGTCGATTTTCATACTGTGATATTTCGTGCCTGTTCGAGGCTTCCATTGAGACGTACTCATTTCTGGGACCATATAATACTGAATGACATCGTCCTTAATATCTTTAGGGATCAATTTTTTGTACGGCATGACGCTCTCACAGAATTCTTTCGGTTCGAAATTGTGATATCTAATATGACAAAGACATTGATGCAACGTCTTTTCTAGGTTTACGAAATCATCCTTCGTCCAGCTGCTAATATCGCTCGTCGAAGTTA